GCGATATCAGTAGTTTTGCAGATAAACAGTGCATATTGAACGATAAAGTGATATGAAGACTGATGGCTGAGTTTTGCTTTGGACGAGGTCGCTTATTCGAGATTTAAGTAGCTTAAAAGAGTATATGCAATTGTTGTATACAAACTTGATCAGTCGACATCCAGTTTTCCCATTCTCTTCATTGTCTTCGACCCCGTTGCTTACCCTACAAATGAGTAAGTTGCGTGAATATAATGAGTGAGCCTCATGATGATATTTAATCTTTCTTGTTCTTGCTTTTGCAGAAGCCGTTTCATGCCACCTCGACGTTGGCATTAATTGCAAAATCAAGTGTCTTCTACCATTTCACGAGAAACAGCATCACAATCTGTCTAATCGGACGCCATGTCGCGTGGATTTAATTTGCGAATTAACACCGCCGGAAACCGAGACCAAACGATCCAGGACTAAGTCCCGCTTGAACAGAACGTGAGATTAAACCAACTCGTGATCGACACATGAGACCAAACCATTCGGTACCAAATCACCCCAGACCCACCAGTCCTCAATAGTTGTTATTCACCCCATTTCGACTAAGGCCATGACAAGCTGATAGTTGCATTTTCACACAATCTCGTTTCCATTCGGACCTGCTTTTGAAAAGGTATTCTCATTTCGGCTGAAATGGACTCCAGCCTGCCCAGACCGGGGCTCGAACCCACTCGCAGGTGTGAATTTCAAGGCCTATGCCTTTTTTGTACCACATTTTTCTAATGGGATTATCGATGTGGCGGTTGTATTTGCTGTACCAATCGACTACACTACTTATATTCGTGGCTTGCAAAGCTACCAAAACAGTTTGGATGATATCTCAAAATGCACACACTTAATTAAATGCAATAAAACCAACTACACAGGCTTACAGGCTGACACAAACGTGGCCGAACATCCGTTGCGCTGAGCCCTCTTCGTGTGGATACAATATGGCGCCTCTTTGCAGATACGACATCTACCAGCAATGCCCTCGGTTCAATCCGGTTGGCAGAGCCGGAACTTTCGCAAACTAATGCAACTAACAAAAAGTGGAGACGAAACTGAGGCACGACGGTAAACCCGATTGGCCAATCACGATTTCTGATTGAAGTGGTTGGACGTCTGACCGAACCTCGACTGCCGAAACACGAAATAAACATGCATTTCACTGAATCCCTTGATTGAAGGTATGAAAACCAAGATGGTGTGTGTGTGTGTGTGTGGCCTTTTGTGTGTTCGCAGTCTCCTGTCGTCGTATAGAAGTGGTTTGACCTTGTTTTCACAACTTGCTCATGTTGTTAGGGAGACTTAGAGGAACGCACACATGCATCATCATCATTTCCAGAGTCGGACCGTGGACGTGGTACACATTTTCAGACTTTTCGCCAGCACCACACGACAACTCGTCCTAGAGACAATTGAAGACAATTGTTTAGAGCAACTCGACTGTTCGTGCAGACGGAAAAGTTGGTTTGGGGGATTGGTTGGTTGGTGCTTCGATTGTCGAGTCGGTTGGTCGGTAAGTTGTTTTGTGGGATGGTCGGTTGGTGGTGACATTGCGACCAGTTTTACTCGGTGCTGATCGGTGATGCTGGCAACTGACTTGGATACCGGCGAACCGTCTCTTCGAGTCGCCCTGACGACATGACCGCCACTGTTTGTGCAGCGATTACGGACAAACCTCACTTTGTGCTCTCAAGCGGCGTCACTCTTTGCCCACTCTCGAAGGAATGTGGCGGAGAGAGAGAGAGTGAAGAGTGGAGT